TTTAAATACTACAACGAGCTAAAGGTGAGCCTGTATTTTCTATTTGCCCTTTTACTTATCGTATTTTCTCGTTTTCCTGTCCGTTCCTTCTTTTGACTTTGACTAATGTTTCACTTCGTGTTCTCTGTTGCAGGGCCTGGACTCTAAATTCTGCATGCAACATGATGTATGGACTTCGAAAGGAAATCGACATGGATTCATTGGCGCAACGGTTAATTACATCGATCCGAATTGGAAATATGTTTCACGACACCTGACTCTCAAAGTGGTGGCATGGGAGCATCGAGGGGCATGGTTGGCCGAGCCTTTGGCCAATGTGTTAATCAAAAATGACCTGGCTCCAAAGATGAGCACACAACATTATCTTAAAGAACCATGAGAACGATTTAAGCTAATATCATTTTATTACTCTGTCCTCACTTGCTTAGCCAGACTACGGACTCCGGTTCAAATAATAAGACAATGGCCCAAGAAATGCACCAGCAGTTCTTGGACCGTTATGGGGTTGATTCTGACTACCGGTGGGATGCTGACACCATGCACGCCTTCTGCTTCTGCCACAAGCTTGCGCTTGTGGTGGGAGCGGGACTAGGTGCCCTAGGCCTCAAGACTCCTCCTCCTCGCAAGGTCAAGACTGCAGTTCGTGGTCGTTTTCCAACGGTGTGCGCGACTCTAGTTGAAGAAGACGAGCCAACGGATCCTCTTGATGGTGATGGCCCGGTATTAGAAGTTCCTGATGTCTCAACTGCTCCAAACGAAGACGACGCACCCTCCGACTTTGAACACGACCTGCAAGATGTGGATGAAGATACGACCGAAATGGATAGATTGGGATGTGCTTTAGCTGAAGCTCCAGTGGATGACGAGGCCGACTGGGACACGGCGGATCAAGATGATGAAACCAATCCCATGCGAGTTCTTGACGACTCAGTTGCACCTACTCATCGCAGAGAAGCTAACAAGCTTCACTTCATCTTAGAGAAGGTAAGTACCTTGTCCAAAATATTACTCGTTTAAATTCTTCATTTCAAGGTACTAATCTTCATTACATTTTCCTCCTACAGCTCGACTTTATCATACGCAGGATAACTCGGTCATCCTCTTGGAGAAATGAATACAATAGAATCATGAAAGCACATGGCTTATCGTTGGGATCCCTGATAGCAGGGTATGGTATAAGATGGAATATAAAATATATCAGCCAACATAAAGCTTGGCTTGCACGTGAGGTGAGTCATCGATCTATGTTTCTTTCCTTTGTCTATTGATCATGATGCATATATTCATTGCTAATCATTGTTTGGTCATTTCAAGGTCATTGACCAGATCTTGAAGGAGGACTTGGCCCGAGTTCATTCTAAGTCTCGGCGACCACACAAAAACGGAAAACCTCACGGGTATTTCCATGAGATCTCAATTAGCCCTTCAGAATGGGCATCAATAGAAGAACTTAACTCGGAGCTAGAGGTAAGTTTGAGCTGTTCACATCGTATTTTCAACAGGTTAATTGACTGTACATCATGTATCCTCTTCAGCCCTTTTTGACCATCACGAAACAGATGGAAGGGAACATGGCCACCGGGGCCATGGTAATTCCTAAGTATATAGAACTGCAACAACGATTACAAGAAAGAGAAAAGAAATTAGCTACGATTGAGGCCCTGTATCCAATGATTGCAG